GGGGGGGCGGGGAGGGGGAACGAGACGTAGCCCCGCTCCTCGGCAACAACCACATCATGATTCTCCCATAACATCTTTCCTCACCAAGCATACGGCGTGCCTAGCCAATTCAGCTGCGCCACTGAATCGGCTGTTGTGAGGTATCATGACTGAACTGGCCGGCCCTAAGTATTACACAGTCCTTTTATCCAAGTTCAAATCCAGAAACGTATAGACCCAAGTTCACTCATACGTATAGACCCAAGTTCAAATCCAGAAACGTATAGACCCAAGTTCACTCATACGTATAGACCCAAGTTCAAATCCACAAACGTATGAATGAGCGCAGCTGAATTGGCTAGGCGTATAGACCCTAGCTCATTCATACGTTTCTGGATTTGAATTTGGGTCTATACGCCTCGCTCCGGCTTCACTGCTGCCGTATTCGCGGTAGCACTGTGGGCGGCGGGCCCGCATCCTCGCGGTATGACAGTACCTGTTGCGCAAACAGGCAAGGGCAGCAGCAGCAATGCCCTATGGGCCGTGGGCGCACATGCCTTGCTCGCCCGCCCAGAGCGCGGACTGGGCCGTGTGCGCACAAATTGCCCATCCAGTGCGCGGACTGCACCGTGTTCGCACGTGCCTTGCCCCCCCAGCCCGCGCACACATTGCCCATCCAGTGCGCGGACTGCGCCATGTGTGCATGGCCGGGCGCGCGGCCACACGTGACTTGCCCGCCCGCGCACACATTACTCATCCAGCCCGCGCACAAATTTCCCATTCAGCCCTCACACAGGTGCCTTGTCTGACTGAGTTTCAGGTTTAGGTTTCTTCGACGCACGAGCACACAGTCTTATGGCCTCACTCCACCACTCACTACATGCACAAAAGACAAAATTACGTTGGTGTATGTATATTTCCATGTTCTGGCGGAAGATTCTTTATTATTTTGCACATTTGGTCAATGGTGGAGCGAGCGAGTCCTACAGTAGAATTCTTTCTTTTCTGTGGTGGAGCGAGCGAGTCCTACAGTAGAATTCTTTCTTTTCTGCCATTAATAGTTCATCGCAGAGCCCACTCACTGCGAGCACTGGCAGAAAGCTATCAACTACCGTTTTCAACCGCGTAGAACACCTGGTCATTATCGCTGCATCTGGACCGAAAGATGCCCCAAATACGGCTAAATGACCGGATGTTCTACTCGGGTGAAGACGGTAGGAGCGTATGCCCCCAAGCAAACACAAAAACGGGACAAGCCGCAAGAGCAGAACAGAGAAAGAACAGAGGCGAGACGATGAGCAGGACAAAGACACAAGAGGGAGAAAGAGGAAGACAGGACGAAAGAGGCCGTAACCTTCTGAACATTCATGTCGAGCGAATCTCTCTCTCTCTCTCTCTCTCTCTCTCTCTCTCTCTCTCTCTCTCTCTCTCTCTCTCTCTCTCTCTCTCGCCGCTCGCACTCACATAGTAATATTTACTTACAAATACATTATTACAGGAGAACAGGAATTCGAACCCTTAACCTGATTATAGGAACAGGGTACGAATAGAATTTCCCCGCCGAATCCCATTAATTTTAACACATCTGACGACTGTAGTTATCTCAAGGCCATGCGCTGGAAAGGGGATTCGAACCCTTAACCTGATTATAGGAAACGTGTGCGGATAATGTTTCACTACCGAATCCCATTCATTTTATCACATCACATCTGACGGCTGTAGTTATCTCAAGGCCTGCACNATTATAGGAAACGTGTGCGGATAATGTTTCACTACCGAATCCCATTCATTTTATCACATCACATCTGACGGCTGTAGTTATCTCAAGGCCTGCACTGCATTTCCGGGTGTTCTGTTCTGCGTTCTTTTTTTTTTTCAATCGTTTAAAATGCTGTGAAACTTCGAACATCAGTTTTTTTTTTTTTTTTTTTTTTTTACAAAAATTTGGACCATTTCTCGATTTATGCGTGTCATCCTTGCGCAGGGGCCATTTTGGTAATTACCCTTCTCTGTATCGTTCCAATTTTAACAGATGTCTCGAAGGACGAACATCAGTTCAACCGAGGCCCCGTAATTAATAATCATTTCCAAAAAAAAGACCCCGCGAAGGAAAACGAGGAGGAGGAAGAAAAAGAAGAAGAAGAGAAGAGAGATGCCTGAGCCCGGGTACAGAGCGTGACGGCTGTAAGCCTACAGTCTTCACCCGAATACAATGTACCGTCATTATACCTGTATTTGGGACACCCTTGAGTCTAGATACAGCAGTAATGACAGTACGTGTGTTCGGGTGAAGACGGTAGGCCGCAAGGAGAAGGAATTAAGGGAAGGGGAAGAAGAAGAGGAGAAAAGCGAAGGGGAGCACGAGGAAGAGGAGGAAGAGGAGGAAGAGGAGGAAGAGGAGGAAGAGGAGGAAGAGGAGGACGTGGAGGTGGAGGGGAAAGGCATCATCGCTTTCGCAATCTCCAAGGCATGCTTAGTCTCAGGTGCTTTTCCTTATTAAAGTATAAATTAAGAAAGAAATACGAGCAAATAGATCGGCTACGTCTACGCCCGAACACAACGCACCCTCATTTTGGCTGCACCGTGCCAGAAAAATAGCTTGTATACATTCGTTATTAGGGTGAATTGTGTTCGGTGAAAGACGGTACTTGCACGGGTATGGGCCATAACTCGTGCCATCATCCACGTCAAACGTCTTCATAAGTCGCTTTCATAAAGCGCTTGACAGGCCACGGCTCTCTCTTCTCTCTCTTTCTCC